TGTTTGCCGGTTACAGGTAAATCGGATTTCGCTGCAGTTCGACGTGGCGCATTGCTGGAAATAATTAGAGGATCCCGGAATCGCGTGTAATTCTTATTTATTTCTTTTTTCCCGCAAGCTGATGGAACAGGGTTACGAAGAGACGCGCAGGATGTCGTCGCCGCGAAATTGCACGAGATCAGCGTTTGGTTTTAAGCAGAGACAGGAAGATGCAAGGAAAGCTTGCGAAACTGCAAACAAACCGGTCTCGTTTACCGTGAATTTCTTCTTTAAATGGCGGAAGGGTGCGAGCTTTCGCGACTAAGTCGAAGGTTAAGGCTTGGAGGATTTCTTTGGGTCACGTGGTTGTGTATTTGCTGTGTAGGGCATTCGGGGTAGTTGTCCCTGGATGAATATTCTCGTTATCGTTCACTCTGCATAACGCTTCCTCGTGTCCGGGAAGCTTGTCGGCGTATATTTCATTGACGCTATCGTGACAAGCTATTTCCACGGTTGCAGTATATTATCAGATTTTTATTACCTCGGGAAAGCTCTTCGAGAATTATATTAGATCGCTGGGAAGTTAATGGCTTTCCGCTCTAGTCGCGAAAAGACGTAGTGTCACGTCAACGCTCGCTAATGCGCTAAAAAACCTATTCAAAAGTTCCTATTGGGAGGGATAATATTTTTGAAACACGAAGTAACGAATGGTCATACCCGGCGTTATTTGGAAGTAATTTAAAGCGACCCGTTTTCCACCGTTAATGATAAAAATGTTCAACCACCCGTCTCCAACTTATTTCCCCTCGAAAGGACGCCTAGTTTTTGGGGCAGCGGAGAAATTTCCGGGTACAAAAGCGTTTCCAGGCACCTTCGCCAGCCAAAAGCTCTCTCGTTTTATTAAAATTGTATTTCTCCCGAGATTAGAAAATTTTTTTCAGCCGCAGGGAGAGAGAGAGGTACACAGGGCGAGGTTGAGAATGACCAAGAACGGCGGAGGGGTTAAACAAACGTGGAAAGCGAGGTTTGCTCGATATTGATCGATAGTTTCAATAGGATAAGATTGTTGTAACGGGATTAAATTGATTTTTGATGGAGTTATATTTGATTAACGCTCATATTCGGTGTATTTCGTATAAACCGGGATCCTCTAATTATTTTGATTAATGTACTTAGCAAATCAACTCCTCCCTGCCGGTGGGTTTAATCGCAGCACGAAATACAAATTCATTACGTTAATGAATATTAAGCTAACAGAAAATATAAAGCTACATGTTGCATCGATTGTCGCGAAATAATGTATTCCATTCCCATGCTACGTGCACGCCAAGTTTAATATTCGACGTTAATATCGATATCTCGCTATATTTCCTATTAATACGCTATTTACATAGCATTTACATTCTTCAGAGTTCCCGTAAAATATGTACATTTTAATCACCGCCGACTAGTTTCTAAATCCTCGGCAAGAATTTATTCTCCGCGAGACACCGACAGCAATTTCGAGAGCAGTTTCGTGAACAGTTTTCGAAAATAATTACCGACGCGATGCCGGATCGATACACGATCGATGATAATCGCGAAATTTCCACTTTTACCGTCAGCGTGGATCATTAACGAGCAGCAAACGGGCCGCAAACGCTGCGGCGAGCGCCAAGCAAAGGCGGTTCCCATGGACCGGAGCGTCCTAACATCGATAACTCCGGTAACCATCGCGGATACCCTGCTCCCATGGATCATCGTATTTAATGAAAAGCCGCGGACAAACGCGCGAGCGAGCCGGCGAGTGCTCGTAATCAAACGGTTCCCGTTGAAACAGGAAACGCGTAAATTAATCACCGTACCGCGAGCCTACGCGGCTGCATATCCGCGCGCTGGCACACCGTTTTCGTTGGCAAAAAAAAGTGCGAGAGAGAGAGAGAGAGAAAGGAAAAATAGGAGAGAGAAAACGGGAAAATGGGAAAAACCGTGGGAAAGAGAAGCACGGTGGAGGAGGAGGAAGAGGAGGTAGGGGTAGAAATAAAAGGGTTATTGCCGACCGTTCGCGTATAGCGACTGGTTTTTCCAGCGGTTCGCCGGAGAAGCGCGAGCTAGCTAACGCGTCGTTACTCCAATTTTCCGAGCCAAGGCTGGAGGAGTAGCGGAGACGCGAGGAAAAAGACAAAGAACTCGTAGTAACGAGCCACCATTTTGTCTTGATGGCCGCATTAGGCGCGTTTTCAATAGAGCAACCGGGGGCCCTCGTTGTTTTGCCATAACCATTGTGCCCGCCTCGGCTATCTCTGTCTAACGTCGGAAGAAGGAAGTCAGACGGCGGTGGCTGGATGGAAGACGGAGCAAGAAAGATGAAGCCCCGTGTTCCGAAGCGAAAGTGTACTGCAACGCCCCTTTCCGTAACGTCGGCGGCGTATTAGCACCAGGAATGCAAATAATTGTTCGGTGCAGTGTATACAGGGTGGCGAAAGCAACCCTGGAATGTAAATAGAGCCGACTTGCGAGTGGCCCCACCGAAAGCACCACCACCGGGGCTTTCCGCCTCTGCTCCTCGATGTATTGACCTCTCTCTCGCTGCACGCACGCATATACGATGGCTTCCAACGTTTCCGGGCCCGTGTGCCAGCGTGTGCGTGTGCTCAGCCAGGTACGGGAATGGCTGCCATCCCCCGGGTCGGTTTGCTCGGCATTATCAACCGAATCTCGCCAACGGTTTGGCTTTCATTAAGCCCTTCCCAATTCGCCGCGATACGACAGCTTTTTACGCCACGTTCTGCGTTCCAAGATTCGGATTTTTCGCCAAACTCTTATGGGAAAATGTGTTATCAAACGCGCATTACCAAAGTCGGCGAGGAATCTTGGAGAAGATGGGTGCAATTGTGATTCTTGGATTCCAAGGTGTCGCGAAGCACGGGGAAACTAAGTCGCGACCCTTTCCGCCATTTTTCTTCCCCCTGGCGGTAAAAAGGAACAGCCGGAAGATCGCAACTCCGAAATTAATCGTAGCTTCAGCGCAATTAAATCGCAACGTCCGCGGTAATTTTCGGCAAGAAAGCAAAGCCGCGTGCTCGAACGGATGGCAAAAAGCCGGGGTGCATTCAGCCAGGCCCGTCACCGGGAATATCCGCGAAACTGCGGCGATTTCCTCCCTACCGCGGAAGCTCGAAAACGCGGAAGGAACCGGAAGCCCGCGGGTGGCCGACTTCTTGCCTTCGGAAACGAGTTTGCTCGCGAGGACAGCGACGTTCGGCACGGGAGCAATAAAGCATCGCATCTGGTCGCGCGACGCGATTAATCGCCGCTCCGGCGCAAGAATTAATCGCTGACGCCGCGATAATTTATCGCCGCACTCGCCTCGCCGCGATATTTCACCCGCGGAAATACTTTTCGCGGTCCTGCTCGCGCGATAACCCGCGATAACTCGCTTTTCCTTTCGCGAAAATCCCGCCGAGGAGTTCGCGCGTAGCTCGGGGTTCGCATGACCGTCACCGTGACCTTATCATCCCGCGAATTCACCTTGCCTTGTCAGGGCCCCCTCGATCCGGAGATAGCGGGGTGCAACGAGGTATGACGGGAAGGAGGTATTTAGGCGCGCGATGTCTCTATTCTCGAGGAACGCGGAACCTTTTCCGTCATTAGTCCACGGCTTTCTTCGAGTTTCTGAGCAGATGGCGAGGGGGTGTGATGGGTCAGGGTGATCGGGATTCGCGAGTGTCGGTGAGTTAATGTTTTTCGTCGCGGGAAGTTCGTACCCTCGACGAGGGCTTGTAGTTCTGTTGGATGTTGGAAATGTAGAACTGGGCGATAGGAGCGATGTATATTTATGGCTCGGGATTATCAACTGTTTGGAATTTAGTTTCGGGTTCGCGGTAGATTAGCATTAGGAATTTAGGTAGCGTAATGGGCTTACCCGGTACTTACGGCTTTTGGTTTGGAATAATAGCGGAAACGTTAAATATTTAGCGCGCAAGATTATCGGACTCTCTGCCTTCGATTCGAATTGTTCGCCGCGCGCGGTGACGTTCGAGTGTGCCGGGTCATGGAATAAAGGCTCGAGCCAATTTGAAGTTTCGAGGAGGAGCTATAAATCTGCGAGATCCTTAAGCTATAAGATTAACGTCGCGGGCCAAAGTTCCGGATAGGAGCGTGACTTCTTTGCCAGTTTCGCGATTTTGAATTCGCGTATTCATTTACCTTGATACTTTTTGATTTAGATATTCATGAGTGGGGGGAACTTGCGGTCTTAATTAAAACTTGGCAAACTCCGAGTTCCTAGCCGGCCTTTAATAGCCGTTGACATGTCAGGAGCTCGGAAGAGTGGCGATGTTTAAACAGAAGTTTGAAAATCGATAATCGACGTTGCTCGCGGCTTATTTTTATCGTCTTTCGCTGACAATTTTAGTACAGCAAGGGAGATGATATTTCTAACTGCGCGAGTTTGTCGACCCGCATGAATATTCCGGAATTTTAAATATTCACGAGCAGCGTTACGTTTTACGCGCCGCGGTATGATATAATTCAAATTTAAAATAAGAAACGTGCGCTAGGACGAACATCGTTATTCGCGTTGTTTGCCGTGTAAACAGTGCGCATTACAGCTAATAACCAGGCCGGTTACAACGTTCAGCTGCGTATAATAATAACCCGTAAATTGTTATTAATATACCTCTACCGCGCTGGAAAGATTTATATCCAGGGGCGCTGATTAACGTAATATTATAACGTTTTATCCCGCTAAATAGCGCGTCGTAAAGTTTCCAGCGGCACAGTAACTAATTACCATTATCCCGTAACAATAAGAGCCGCGGGAACAATTGGTATTTACAGGTACGCGATGGATCATCGTGTCCTGTGAATTTTCGAACTGTTCCGAAATTTCCGCCATTTCGGATTTTCAAATATTCGCCAGTCGCGGAAACTAAAAGTTTCGGAATGGAACAGTTTGAAAGCGGTCAAATACGCAAATTTCCGGCGTGGATCTATTAAATTCCGAACTAATCACGATTCCGTTTTCTCTTTGATTGCAGAAACTGCAAACGATCGGCGAGGATTTCTGCGGTCTGGATGTGAACACGCCTCTGGGAGGCGAGGACCCGATGGAGGGCACCCCGGTGCTTACTTTCGATAAACATCTGACGGCGGTAGCTGCTACCTCGACCGGCGACTACACGGTCGTCTTCGTGGGCACGAGCAAGGGTCACCTGAAGAAGGTCAGTGCACGATACTCTTTATCTCGCCGATCGAAGAAGAGCAAGAGGCGCTCGAACGGTACCGAGCTGTTTCATTAGGCCAACCTTGTACGTTCGTTATCTGCTCGTTGCATATTTTCCACGATCCAATTCTGCCATAATGACCCTCGACCGCTGGTATTTTTCACGCTCTTTCACCTCTCGTCCTGGACTATGCGTCGATCCTTCATCCTAATTCTTTACGCGGTACTCTAATCCCCTTTTAATACGCCAACGCGAATTATAGTTATTATACCCAACGTATCGTCATTCCCATACCGAAAACCCAGATGTTACCTACACCTGTACATCCCGGTGAAAAATTTCCAAATAAGTGGCATTTGTCCCGGAGCGAGTCGTGGTGGTGGTAACCGAAATGGGAGCAGCGAGGTAATAAAAGCACGGCGGCTGAAACTCATTCGCGCTACTGGGTCCTCTTGCTCCCTTTCGACGCAATAATTAATCCGGAATCGGCCTCGCGGCCGCGTCGCCAGCGAAAGTAATCACAATAGATATTAACGCGAACGAGAGAATCGGGACTACGGTGAAATCCGCTTTCTACCCGCGTTCCATTAGCCTCGGCTCGAGGTGTAGCCATTACGGAATATCGTTGCTCGCGAAGCGTTAACGCTCAACGAAGCTAATGGAGTCCCGTGGACCGTCTCGCGGCTCGAGCGGGGCCCGGCGCGGAAAAGCAACGCTCGCCGAACTCGCGCGATCCTCGAATTAATCGCGGTCGCGCTCGGCTCCGAGGTCTCGTGATTCAGACGCGTGTAACGCGAGCCCTGTAATTGGCTGCGCGACGTTCCGGCGAGAGAGGGGAAAAAATACGTCGCGAGCGGGGAATTACGCGCGCGAGAGTTTAGACGCGATCGTTTTGGAAAAATGATCGGCGCTGGATCGTTATCGCGGTGGATGCGGTTCCAGGAACGCGATATCTCGCGTTGGCCCCCTCGAATCTGTCGTGATTAATCACGATTATCCCGGCTAAATCCTCTCCGATTTCTTCCGGTTTCCAACTCGAACACGGTGCTTTATTTTCGCAATTGCGTTACACGATCTCGGGGAAAAGATCGGCGAGCGGAATATCGGCACAGGGGAGCTTTTCCTTCGCGGGAAAAATTTCAGAAACAGCTCCTCCTCGTCCTCTTTGCGATCTCGGTTTGTATCTCTATCTCGACGAGGATCGTTGGTCGCGTGGAGATAACAGTGCGAAGTTAGATGCCGATTTTTGCATCGCGACTCGATCGAACGGACACGGTCAAGGAAAGGACTTAATCGTTTCAATGGAGGACAAACAAGAGGCTTTTCGCAATTGCGTTACACGATCTCAGGGAAAAGATCGGCGAGCGAAATATCGGCAGAGGGAAGCTTTTTCTCCGCGGGAAAAATTTCAGGAACGTTTCATCCGCGTCCTCTTTGCGATCTAGACGAGAATTGTTCGTCGCGTCAGGACAACTATGTGAAGGTAGATGCCGATTTTTGTATCGCGACGCGATTAAACCGTCACGATCGAGGAAGGAATTTAATTGTTTCAACGAATGACAACAAGAGGCTTTTCGCATTTGCGTTACACAATCTCAGGGAAAAGATCGGCGAGCGAAATATCGGCAGAGGGAAGCTCTTCCTCCGCGGGAAAAATTGTAGAAACAGATCCTCCACGTCCTCCTCTTTGCGATCTCGATCTCGATCTGGATCTGAATCTCGACTAGGGTCGTTCGTCGCGTTGGGATAAATGTGCGAAGGTAGATAGAGGCTTTTCGCAATTGCGTTACACGATCTCGGAAGAAAAGATCGGCAGAGGGAAGCTTTTCCTCCGCGAGAAAAACTCCAGAAACAGCTCTTTTGCGTCCTCTTTGCGATCTCGATCCCGATCTGGATCTGGATCTCGACTAGGATCGTTCGTCGCGTTGGGATAACTGTGCGAAGGTAGATGCCGATTTTTGCATCGCGACTCGATCAAACGGACACGGTGAAGGAAAGGACTTAATCGTTTCAATGGGGGACAAACAAGAGGCTTTTCGCAATTGCGTTACACGATCTTGGAAGAAAAGATCGGCAGAGGGAAGCTTTTCCTCCGCGAGAAAAACTCCAGAAACAGCTCCTCTGCGTCCTCTTTGCGATCTCGGTTTAAATCTCGATCTCGACGAGGATCGTTCGTTGCGTCGGGATAACTGTGCGAAGGTAGATGCCGATTTTTGCATCGCGACTCGATCAAACGGACACGGTCAAGGAAAGGACTTAATCGTTTCAATGGGGGACAAACAAGAGGCTTTTCGCAATTGCGTTACACGATCTCAGGGAAAAGATCGATGAGCGAAATATCGGCAGAGGGAAGCTTTTTCTCCGCGGGAAAAATTTCAGGAACGTTTCATCTGCGTCCTCTTTGCGATCTCGGTTTAAATCTCGATCTCGACGAGGATCGTTCGTTGCGTCGGGATAACTGTGCGAAGGTAGATGCCGATTTTTGCATCGCGACTCGATTAAACGGACACGGTCGAGGAAGGGACTTAATTGTTTCAACGAAGGACAAACAAGAGGCATCGCGCGACGAATCTCATCGGACGATTGCAATCAGCACGCGCGAGCACTGGCTGAACGCTTAACGACGAGCGACTATAGTCACCCTTAGTAGCGTAAAGGTTAATCACGATCGCCGGGGCTAAATTCCCGCCGATTTGTTCCGCAATCTCGCGCCAGAACGTCGCTGTCCCGGCGTAAGGTGATTCGAAACGGCGGATGTAAGAGGAACGCTTGCAATGATCGCGAGATTATGGATCTGCCTGGTGGCGTTAACTCTCCGGTATCGTTCCAGCGCGCCGCGTTTCTAGGAAAATCGCGCCGCGGATTTCTTCCAATTAATCACAATTACCGGCCGAAAGCCTTCTTCAATTTATTCTGCAATCTCCTCGCGCTGAACAGTCGATGATCGAGCTCTATGAATTTCTGCCCGAAGATCCGATAATAACCACGCTAGATTATGGCGCCTTTGTGCTCGTTTCGTCGAGGATCTAGCGAGACGTGGGATTTTTTACGGACTCTCGCTAATTAGCGAGAAATTATGATTCGAACGTCGCCTGGGATAGAATTCCTTTCTCCGCGAAGGAGAAACCGTATTTCGGAAGTTCGTATTTGCATACGGGGAGCACGGGGTGAAAAGTCACGCTGTTCGTTGCTCGGTGGCGAGCCGTAAAACTGTCGTTTTTCTCGGTCTCGATCGGAATCTGGTGGTTAGGGGGGGTTAACGTAAACGAACCTGTCATCTTTTTCCCGGCGTACACGAAAGATCCGCCTGTCTCGAATTAGTCACGTGACGCGAATTGCGCAAGAAAGGCCGCGCTCTTTAATTATCGAATAATTAAACGGGACCTCAACGTCTGAGATGCAGCCGCGGCGATAAAAAACTGGGGGGGAAAAAATAATCGCCATAGAGAAAGCCACGAGCCGCGCGATTAACGCGAAAGCGGCAAAAAAGCACGATCGTCCGACGTCACCGTGCGAGGCGGAGCAGATAAACAAAAGCTCGCTGGCCCGCGATACACGCGTACGATGATACGCCGTGTATACCGTGCCGGGATTTCCATCGCGTTACAACGATTAACTTCTTACGCTTGCCCCGATCGCGGTCGTTAAATCAATCATAACCAGGGTCGCGGTCGTCTCGCGATACTCGCCGGGCGCGTTCGTTAGCGTGTCCAAAGAAAATGCAAAATCGCGGGAGGAAAATCAAAGCGGGCGTCGCGGGGCCGCGCGGCGAAGGAGCAAGGAAAAGGGAATTTACCCTGGAAGAGCCCGAGGTCCCGGGCTAAAATTTGCAAGTTAACGAAGTTTCGCGTGGCCCCGTCGTTATTCATCGTGATTAATTAAAGCCGCCTCTGGGTGGCGGCCGCGGATCGTCGGGCTTCGATTATAATTATCTGTGTGCAAACGCGAAAGTCAAATAGCTCCGCGAATGAGCGCAAATACGCCGTGCAAATTCGTTGAAAGGAGCACCCGCGGCCCGTTGAAAATGCCACGCTCGTAGGGTGGCGGGATGCGTGACGGGTGTGTGTCGGAGGTGCGTGTCGGGGTGCGTGACGGCGAAGAGGAGTCGAGGAAGCGAGCCGCGCCACCCCCTCGCGCCCAGGCGCCTCTTTTGGTCGGCGGTCCCGGCGATTCGAGCTATTAAAAATTTATCCACGGCCGCGGGGAAATCTCCGATGCAGGGGGGTGGGTTAACCGATGTCTGAGGCGAGAGTATTAAATTTCGCGAGAAGGGGCGAGAGCTTTAAGAAAACGCGGACGATTTCGGGGTGGGAACGCTTTTCGGCGTCTCGCTTTTGATCCCTCCTACGACCCCCCGCCTCGCGCAATTAACTGCCAGCGGATTTGCCTCGCTTTACGACGGCGAGCATATTCAGGGAATTATTCATTTCCCGTTCGAACGGTCGTCGACTTATTTTCTTATCCTTTGCCGTTTCTTTTTATCTCCTTTCGCTTCTTTTTCCCTTTTCTTTCCCCTCCCTTTTCTCTTTTCATCGTGTACCCGCGCGATGGTTTGATTAGAAAGGACGAGGAGATTTATAAGGGATGATTTCTCGTTCGATATTACGGTTGACGAGATGGAGGCGTAATTGAGTCGGCGAGGGATGAATTCAGGAATTAATTGAAACGCGCTTTCCCCTAATTCCTCGCGTAAATCGAAGCGTGTATACTTTCTTTCGAGGATGATTTGGCGCGCGATGCAGATAATGGTGGAATTCCGACGTCTAACGTTTCTCTGCTCTTAATTAACTGCTACTTTGTCGATAATTAAGGAGCGCGGTTCTCCAGGAGCGCTGGATTTAAAAATAGCGGGGCAGTTATTAAATTCGCAACACACGTCGGCGAGAAATGATTTTCATACCATTTAACTCGGCAATCATGTTGCAATTCGATCGTCGGAGCGTGAAGACCCGTTCTCCTTCGCGGCCGAGGAAAATTGCGATAAACATTCTACTTAG